GAGAGAGAGAGAGAGAGAGAGAGAGAGAGAGAGAGAGAGAGAGAGAGAGAGAGAGAGAGGGAGAGAGAGAGTGTCGCAGCCTCGAACTTCATACATTTCTGTGTTCATTCTCATTTGTGATGGAAAACTCATTTCTTCAGTCACGTACGTTCCCCCTGCCACGGCGCGTTTACTTGTCTTCTTAAACCACCAGTACCTCCATGTCTCTTTTCCCGATGCGGGTTTTTCCAGTGCAGCATTGGACGGCCAGTCCACCGGCCCAGGCAAACTTTAGAATCGAAAATAAGTCATTCCGATTCCGAAAAGTTAGGGGACTCGGCCCGAGGACGGGCCTGGGGGCGGGTGGAATTTTTAATTTTTTTTGTCCCACGCCTCGGGGTGGGCACTGGCACCGCGCGGTGCCAACAAAAAGTTACGCCCCCCCCCCAGGCCTGCCCTTGGGCGATTCCCCCTGCCACAGCGTGTTGCCAACATAAAAATTTATCTGGGTGGTGTACTGGCGGTTTAAGAAATGAGCTGATTCAGGCATGTGTTTTCCGTTTCTTTCGCCTGATGCTGCGAGCCGTTTCGGTTTGACAGGCCGAGGCCCAAAGGATGTGGTGTACTAATGGCAGGAAATGCAGAAATCTATGCAACTCATAAATTGAAGTCCATTTGTATTATGCCCCTTGTGTTGGTATGCTCTCTACCGTCTTCCCCCGAACACAATGCACCCTGATAACGAATATGTATACAAGCTATCTCTCCAGTCCGGTGCAGCCAAAATGAAGAAGCTATCTCTCCAGTCCGGTGTTGTGTTCCGAAGAAGACGGTAGTTGTCTTGTTGACAGAGAAACACAGAGAACTATGTAACTCGTAAAGAAAACGTGTGCTTGTACTTGTGTACTCTTATGCTCTCTGGGTGCTTTTTTTTTTGTACTTATCTTTGGTGCGGACGGTGCTGGTTGGGCGGGGGCGTGTTTGTGTGTTTGTGTGTTTGTGTGTTTGTGTTTGTTTGTGTTTGTGTTTGTGTTGTGTTTGTGTTGTGTTGTGTTGTGTTTGTGTTGTGTTTGTGTTGTGTTTGTGTTGTGTTGTGTTGTGTTGTGTTGTGTTGTGTTGTGTTGTGTTGTGTTGTGTTGTGTTGTGTTGTGTTGTGTTGTGTTGTGTTGTGTTGTGTTTATGTTTGTGTTTGTGTTGTCACTGTTGTGTTGTGTTGTGTTGTGTTTTATTTGTGTTGGTTGTGTTTGGTTGTGTTTGTGATTCTGCTTGTGCTTCTGTTTGTGTGTTTGTTTGTGTNTGTTGTGTTGTGTTGTGTTGTGTTTTATTTGTGTTGGTTGTGTTTGGTTGTGTTTGTGATTCTGCTTGTGCTTCTGTTTGTGTGTTTGTTTGTGTTTGTGTTTGTGTTTGTGTTTGTGTTTGTGTTTGTGTTTGTGTTTGTGCAGGCTGAAGGGTGTTCCAGGGATTATGAAGGAGATGCCACCGCTGCCGGTGAAATTGAATATGGAATTGGCCAACTCAATTCTACCCAGACCGTCTTCCCACCTATCCCCTCCAGCCACCTGATAAATAGGCATGCTTGTTGTATACCAAGTAGTCAGAGAAAGGTTTTTCTTTTTTTTTGGTTCTCTTTTCTTTTTCCAATGGCTGTTGTTGTTTGAGCTTTTCTTCCTTTTTATTCACAAACAGGGGGCTTCACCCTTTGGCGCTGTTTTTTTCGGGACCATATTAATCATCAACGAGGTCCCACTCAGGCGGAGAACGTTTGCCGCAAGATTGCATAAAATGCGGGGAACGTTCATTCGATTCTTTGGTAGTAGAGTCACTGTCTTATCTTTGGGTTGTTTCTTCACAACTTTCAGGAAACCTTTCTGCTGCAAGTGAGAAAAAAATAGGAAAATCT